CTGCACACTGATGCCAGCACCACAGATTTGGGTGCGGTGCTATTTCAGATCCAAGATGGCCAGACCAGAGTGGTGGCGTTTGCTAGTTGTGGACTTTCTAAGGCAGAAAGAAATTATCCGGCTCACAAGTTGGAATTTCTTGCACTCAAGTAGGAGGTCTGTGAAAAATTCCATGACTATTTGTATGGTGCCACCTTCAAAGTGTTGATGGATAATAATCTGTTAACTTATGTGTTGACCAGCGCCAAATTGGACGCCACCAGTCACAGATGGCTTGCTGCACTGTCTGCAAATAATTCTGATGTCCACTATAAATCGGGCACACGAAATGGGGAGGCTGATGGCCTCTCACAGTGGCCTCATGCACCATCATTGAAGGAGGAGGTGGACAAGGTAGATAAGAGAATAGCCAGCATGCTTGATCGTACTAAGCTAGCCCCTGACTAGTTTAACATATTGGATAACAATGCAGTGAGCACTGTATGTGCGAGTCACATCTTGAGGGCTCTTGTGGTGTCCGAAAGTGGAGACGAGACAATAGCGGAGAGTTTCATCCCTGCTGTAGAGACACTGCTCTGTGACACCATTGCGGTTCCGGAAGACCTGGAAGAGCTAGTCTTATGGCCCAGTCAGCCTACATTGCCTGAGTTTTCCAGTGAAGATTGGCAGAAGTTGCAGGGAGAAGACACTAGTCTGGCACATGTTGTACAGCTTTTGACTCTGGGTTCCCATACAGTGGACAAAATATGTGAGCAACCAGACGTACTTTGGTGCACAATCACCTAGGTGAAGATTCCCATCAGCTTGTTGTGCCTCAGAGCCAGAGAGAGAGCATTTAGGGGTGTGCATAATGAAGTGGGGTATGTGGGTGTTGAACGGACTGTGGAGTTGGCAAGGGCCCGATTTTATTGGCCTAAAATGATGCGGTATATAGAAGCAAAGTGTAGGGCGTGTGAACGATGTGTGAGACGCAAAAGCAAAGTGCAAAAGGCAGCTGAACTCGTGAATATCAAGGTCAGAAGTCTCCTTGAACTCCTATGTATGGATTTCTTGTCCTTGGAACCTGATTCAAAAGACACTAGGCTTATCTTTGTAATAACTGATCATTTCACCAAGTATGCCCAAACATGCCCAACCCGAGATCAAACGGCCAAAACGGTGTCTGTAGTACTATGGGAGAATTTCATTTTGCCATTATGGATTTCCACGTCGTTTACATAGTGATCAGGGTGCATGCTTTGAGGCATTGTTAAATCACGCACTACCCCTTACCATCCCAGAGGCAACCCAGTGGAAACGTTTAACCGGACTCTACTTGATTTATTAAGGACATTGGAAGAAAAGAAAAAAGAAGAATGGAGGAAGTATGTAAGGCCGTTGGTGCATGCCTATAATTGCACTAATAATGATGTTACGGGTGAGGCGCCGTTCCTTCTAATGTTCGGACGACAACCACGACTCCCAGCTGATTTATGCTTTGGGGTCATGACTCTGAAACACACTTGCACTATGTGCGTGACCTTAACAGCAGACTTAAATACGTGTATAATTTGGCCTCAAAGAATGCAGAAAAACGACATAATCTGAACAAAAAACGGTGGGATTCTAAAATAACGGCTACGCCGTTAGATGTTGGAGATAGCGTCCTTGTTAGGAACTCGGGTCTTCGGAGGAAACATAAAATTTCGGACAGGTGGGAATCTGCTGTTCATGTAGTGTTGAAACAGCCGGACCAAGACATTCCTGTATATGTGGTCAAGCCTGAGGGAGGAGAAGGTAGAGAGTGAGTTCTCCACAGAGATATGCTGCTTCCATGTGGGATTTTGCCTGTGGGTCTAGGATTGGGGGACAGTGCAGACACCGAACGGGTTCTACTTACTCTGATTTCCGCAAGAGGCAATAATGAGTCTGGGCTTGAGTTTCATGTAACGCTATGAATGTACTTTTATTTTATTTAAGCAATTTTGCTGTTTATCTAGTTATATGATTTTTTTTTCTCTTTGTAACTTTCCAGGAAATTACACTAGTTCTATGTTTTAAGTGAATGCGAGATTTTTGGTAATACAGTATCACGACAGCTCAGTGCCATCCAGGCTCTGCGTCATTACGCTCTGCGGAGACTGGCAAATTGTTTTATAAGTCGCTGTGAATGAGCAGGGAAAAAGCTGAGCAGTGCCACGGACATTAGTGGCATCTAAGTTTCTTCTTTCTTGTTACCAACATCTGCCTCCTTTGCTAAGATGAACCTACCGACCAAGCAACCACACCGCCGTTCGGACTCTCCTTTTCCCGCCAACGAGGCACGGAAAAAAACGTGCCAACTTCCATTTTTTGTCCTTGTGGTTTTTCTCAGGAGGGACAATAAGGAGGAGCTGGCCATTTTGAGCATTTGGGTACCCAGCAAATAATTATTACTTCTTTTTGCTTCATCAAATGAAGATTTTTTTTTTTTGTATGGACTTAATTATTGTCAGAATATATGATTGTGTTCTGGGTTTATGTGCTGGGGATTATATATTAAACTAATTTGGTAATTAAACTATTATAAAAGGTTGTGAAGAAAGACACATGGTGTCCATATCATATTTTCTTTCTGAACCACCGGTAACTGGACTCAATTGCATAAGAATATTGCAAGACCCTGTACCATAATGCCCCCTTTTTAAAAAATCACAAAGACCCATCACTGGGAAACATAAAATTGACCCTTATTTTCAATATTGCTTTTCCACAGACCCTGAAGATCTTCATTTAGGGAAATACTAAGTGCTGTGTCACTGTGACTTAACTGAAAACTTGGCCAAACAGCCGCCTATAAGGCAGATATGAGATTATTGACGGGGAGCACTGATACTTAAGTCTGTGTGTGTGTGTCTGTGTGAGTATCTGTGTGTGAGTGTCTGTGTCTGTCTGTCTGTCTGTGAGTGTCTGTGTGTGTGTGTGTCTGTATATGTGTGTGCGTGTATGTGTATGTGTGAGTATCTGTGTGTGAGTGTCTGTGTCTGTCTGTCTGTGAGTGTCTCTGTGTGTTTGTGTGTGTGTGAGTGTATGTGTGTGAGTGTCTGTGTCTGTCTGTCTGTCTGTGAGTGTCTCTGTGTGTTTGTCCGTGTATGTGTGGAGCTTACACATTTTCCCTCTGTTTATTGGCATCTCTAAATTGCCTACAAAGTATAATTTCATGTGTGTGCTCTAAGATTGACTGGTAACCCATGACACACTATGATCACGATGGTGCTTCTCCGGGCGAGCTAGTGGGAGGTGTCTCTCTTTCTCACCCTGGGCGTGCTAGGGAGAGGTGTCTCTCTCACTCCGTGCATTGTGGGTGGGAGGTGTCTCTCTCACTCTATTGGTGTGCCCGGGGAAGCAGTCTTTCTTTCTCACCCCAGGTGTACCAGGGGGAAGTGTCTCTCTCACTCTGCATATGCCAAGCTGAGGTGTCTCTCTCACTCTGGACTTGCCAAGCTGAGGTGTCTTGCTCACTCTGGACATGCCAGGGAGAGATGTCTCTCTTTCTTGCACTGGGAGTGCTGGTGGGGTGTCTATCTCAATCTGTGCTTGCCAGGGGGATGTGTCACTCTTTCTCACTCCGGACATGCCGGGGGGAGGTGTCACTCTCACTCTGAGTGTGCTGGGGGGAGTCGTCTCTTTCTCACCCCAAATGTTCTGGGGGGAGGCATTGCTCTTGCTCACCCCAGACGTGCTGTGAGATATTTTCTCACTCGGCACCTATGACTGAGAAACTGTCCAGACATCTTTATTTGTGACACCACATGCAAAAATTGCTTCCTGAACAATAATTTCCATCTAAATTCATAAAATATAAAATACATTTGTGTTGTTTGAACACCACTCTTTCAATTGCTGTTAAAAAGCTTGGACACAAGCAAAATGTTTTAATTCAATTTTAAGTAATGAGATTAAATTAGATTAACTTTATTCATCCTAGAGGGAAACTACAGCATTCACAATGAAAAACTAAAATAATACACTAACATGATGGCAAGGCCCTGTGTTTTAACATCTACTAAATGGAGCCATTATAGTTATCTGTGTTTGGTGAATGATGATAATTATTTACACAGGTAATGGACATTATCCAATGCCTGCTAAGCAAATGGACCCACAAATAAATTTACCTTTGGATAATGAACTACAAACTAATAAAAATTAAAAGAAAACAACAGGCAGTAAAATAACAAAATAAAAGCTTTTTCTGCCCCTAATACTGCTGGCGCTGGTCTGGTGATTGATGCTACTTAATGAATCTTCCTTTGTAATATTTTGACTAACCAATTGTATTCTCCAGATTTGTAAATGAGGTTTTATTTGAAATCATTTGGTTTAACATGTCAATATGTACATACGAGAGACAGCGCTGAGCCCTCAGATGGAAATACACGCCGGATGTTACCGTCATTTTGAAGTTTTCAGTTTGTGTCATTGGGACGCTTTAGACATGCAGGAAAAAACTTAATCTGCTCCTCTAACTGTGGTAAGACTGTTGTAATGCTTTCTGTCGTGATTTTTAGGTGTAGTTTCTAACAGTAATCCACAAACATACAGCAAAGATCAGTTTAAAGATTTTCGGTGGATGGTATTGTCTCCAAATATGTAAAAGATATTTTAATTATTTTCTTTGCAGAGTTTATAGTGTAATTAGCCCAGAATAGTCTCAGCGTGTTCCTTCACTCAGGGCTCTCTTAGCTCACCTGTCACCTGTTCTTTTCCCCATTTATTTCTTTCTCTTTTTCCCCTCCTTTCATTCATTCTGCCTTTTATATTTTTTCTTTCAGAATGCAGACATGACCAGAACATCATTTGCGGTCTGTCAGTTGCAGTCTGTTGCTTCCGAACCAGGCATGTATTTACATTTTAACTTTTTATTCTAATGATTCATGAGCCACTTAATCCGAAAGCAAAAAAACAGTCCATGTGAGGTTATGCTTTCCTTTTGTGCACGTCCACGGCAGGAAATAAAGAGCCAAGGTAAACATCAGAGCACAGGTAGGGCCAGGCTAAAGCAGAGGAAAGAAGCCTGTGAATTAACTCACAGTGCAAAGGGGAACAATCGCCGTCCCCAGGAATGGCTTTGCGGTGGGCACACTCACCCGTCACCCGTCTGGTCTGGGCTATGCAAAGACAGCAGGGAGCTCACCTGCCCGGCGGCCTGCGGGGAGCCACACAAATGCACCATTGTCCGCTCAGATGTATCAGAAACCTGTTATTCAGCCCCCCTCCCCAACCTGCATAAACAAGGGCCCGATTCTGCCCACCAGCTGTCAATCCTGCGCAGACACGGGTGCCAGCGCAAGGCAGGCGGGGGGTGACACTTCCATTTGAGATTCCAGAAGTAGACATGGCAGGCAGACAGCAGTCACTGCTGGAGCGACAGGCCCGTATCTGTCCAGCACAGGTCAGCATTATATTATGTTTAAAATGCCATGAGGATTCCGTGACCCAGTGCTGGATACAGGGCTGATTGATGGATAGATGGATGGATGGATCTTATGAGGAGTGACAAGGCCAGCAAATACCTTTGAAAGAAAACGTCAAAATGACTAAAAAGCCCACCATCAAGCATTCTGATTAATATCAGGTTAAAACTCATTAAAATAATCCAAAGCCAATTACTAAAAGTGTGCTTAGACAGGGCTGGCTTTCAGTTAGCCTGTCAATCATTTTGAATAATATGTTACATTTGTGTTTGAGCTTCATGTTATCGCTCAACTTCTATGTTGTGTGCGTGTGTGTCATGGTTGAAAAGGTACTTTTTATTCCATTGAAATAATATTTAACCAATATTCATATCCACTTTTCAAAAAATATCAACGGAAAGCAAACAATGGGCTTATCGGGCCTTGAACTGTGACGGATGAATGTCACTGATACATTCGTACAGGACTGTACTTAATAGGTTCTGTGACACGGGTCACTTTTCACCTCATTTTACCTGTTCGCTCTCATGTTAACTCTGCACACAGTTAAAACACCTAATTAGTCAAAATGATGTGATCAAACTACAGGGGCATATAGGTCGGTGTCATATTAAAAACTGTCAGACCAACAGTAACATTATATCATCATCACAAAAATATAACATAAATGATATAACTATTCTGATTTTATTAATGAGCCTGGAAAGTGGAAAACCCACGGTGGATTGTATGTGGGAATGCAGATGTGCTTGTGTAAACAGTGTGGAGAACTGAGGCTGGCAGGCGTAAACCTGAATGGGACGTACACAAAGGCCATACTGGGCTCCGTCTAAATAAACAGCCCTTTACTTTAACTGGGAACCCACCCCCCCTCACAAGGAAAATGCCCTTGGTGAGGTTTCGCTGTCTTTTGTCCACCAAGAGACATGCTAAATGTAAAACCCCCCCCCGACTGCACATTCAGCCGCATCAAGCCCAGACACGGCACAGACGCTTCAGGAAACTGCCGTCAGAAATGAGAGCCTGGTCAAAGGTAACAAATAATGCTTCAGCAATCGCAAATGTTACACTTTGCACTTTTATACTGTTGCATCTCATTTATATTATCAGGTTCAAACCATTACAGAAAATATTTATTGTATATATAAAAGTATATATTGCTACCACAGGTAACGAGTCAAAACAAATTAAATTGCATACACCCTCTCCACTGAGTGTTGACACGTTCCTTTACATAACATCTATTACAGCAGCTGCTCGTGACGACGGGTTTATTTTGACATGCAATAACATGGCATACCTGAAGATAGCTGTAAGCAAAATGTGCTGCAATTGAAGAGGAATAAAATGAAACCAGAGACAACATGAAACGATAACTTGCGTTATTCCTCTAAGTCGTATATGTTACACATGATCTGCCAGAATTTAGCAACGTAATTCGATGCTATGACTAAAGGAAGATGTGTTATGTATTCGTCTATTTGCCTGGAAAACATTTCTCTTCAAAGCGGACTGATCGGTCAGTTATTGGGCTGATAATAAGTGCCAGTAGCAACAGGCAAGACGTGGCAGCGCTAGTGCACAGTGGATCAGCACCATAGGTTCTGCACCGGGCTCACACTTACCTGAGACACTGAAATATTACTCTGCGATAATGACCCACTGCCCCAAAGGTGTTTTACACTGCATGAAGCTGGATCTCTAACTGAGAAAAAAATCACCAGTCATCTAATCTGAAAAGTGTAATATATTTTCAGGCAGCAATATGATCATCATTCAGTGCTGTGCTCAACCGGGTGAACGCAGGGAGCTTATGAAGCCTCTGTGGTAGGTGTGAGGAGGTCTCACAAGTGGCAAATCACATGCAAATGCAGCCGTCAGAAACTCGGCGTCCTTTTAGCCGTCTGCTCCACCACAACCACATGCAGCTGCCCTCCACTGACAGCCCTCTACCATGTCAAAGCCACGATCCTGCCAGCCAGCAATAAACAATGAAAGAATTCCTGATAAAGATGATTTCAAAGTAACCTCACCTTCTAAGGAACACAAGCAAGATCTGCGGTAATAATGGCAGTCAAGAAAAGAAAAAAAAAAAAAAAAAAAAAAACAGAACTGAACTTTCTAGATTATCACACCATGTGGTTTGCATGCATTGACACTATGACCAAAGAGTCACTAAGGGATTATGGGGAAATCTGTTCATTTTGTTGTATCTGTAGTCAACGTGAGAGCAAGGGGCAGCTGTGCCATTTGAATGCCCCATTTAAATGCCCTGCTGCCTCCCATGCCCCCATGGCGCTACCCCAAGGCGGTAAGTGTCCCTGCAGCTGATAATGCAGCCGCTGGGGGGAGCAGCCAGGCAGGCTGCTTTTCCCACTGTGTATTATTTGGTATCTCAGGTGCAGGTGCGTCACGTACGGTGTCATGTGCTACACAAATCTTAAGCAGGAAGCCGGTGAGGCACTCCTTAAAATAGCAATTAATAATTTGATATTAGCGCATTTAGCCAGGCACTTCCATTCCTGTATCCTTAAGCATAAACTACTCCTGTTGCTGACATGTCTACTCAGAAATTATACACAAATTCCATCTTAGTTGTTTATTTGATTTTGTCATTTTTTTTTTTATAAATTCTTGTCCATTTGATTGCTTTTCATAAAAATTAAGATTGTAACAGCAAGCTACAAGGTGGACATGCGTCCCAGGCCCGAGAGCCGACGTTTGCCTGGACCCAAGCCAGACCTGGCCCAAGGTCTGTTGCCAAGACCGTTGCCAGGAAACACCCAGTAATCATTTGAACCCAGCTGCCGTGCGCAGGGCAGCAATGCACAGACATCTCCACAGCCCCATGCCAGGTGCAGCTCCCAAGAGACCTCCTAAGGTTATACTCATCAACAAACAGAGTGCAGGGATTAGCAAACACTGGGGGGGCAGCTGGGATTTAAAACTCAACTTTCTCTTCTGCTACAATAGTGCCACAGATACCACAGACTATGGACCTGAAAAGGGATCAAATGAAAAAATGATTTGGTGGTCCAAAAACGGCAGTGTCAGCGACGTCATGCAGGTGGGGGAGGTGCGGGTTTGTTTAAGGTGTTTGCTCTGCAGGCCACCAAGGAAAGGGGCAGGTGCCGGCTTGAAGAGCAGAGCTACAGTATCTGGAGGACCCGCCGCCAAGTCTTCATCCAGCTGATCGGTCGCTGCTGCCTCATCGTGCATTCCGTCCTGAACATACAACTCGCTTGCAGACGAGAAAATGGGGAAAGAAATAGCAGTAATGTTTTTCAGTTCTTTACTGAGCCGTCCTGGGTGTGTTTCGGAGTTTAGGTTAGGGTTAGAGCACATGACAGATCCTGCTGTCTCCCAGATGCTGAGAAAGACCTTAAATGTCCTGCGGTCTCCCAGATGCTGAGAAAGACCTTAAATGTCCTGCGGTCTCCCAGATGCTGAGAAAGATCTTAAACGACCTGCTGTATCCCAGATGCTGAGAATGACCTTAAATGTCCTGCGGTCTCCCAGATGCTGAGAATGACCATAAATGACCTGCTGTATCCCAGATGCTGAGAATGACCTTAAATGTCCTGCGGTCTCCCAGATGCTGAGAATGACCATAAATGACCTGCTGTATCCCAGATGCTGAGAATGATCTTAACATGCTTTCATTGCTGCTCTACGGAGGACTACCATTGACTCCTGGGTGCACCCTGCCCACAGTTATTGACATGGAATAGATGGACAATTCACCAATTCACGTACATATCGTCAACCCCCCACCCCACCCCCACAGAACCTGCCAAGACCTGCTCTTCTCTGCAGGGGTTCATATCCTCACATTGCAGTTCCACCATCTCCCCTGGGTTTTGTAGCTAATGGTAACCCACATAAGTTCCCTCAAAACTGTACTGATGAGCCAAAAAATTAAGGCCACCCCCACATGAAGTGAATAATGTTGTCTGGCTTGTAAAAATGGCACCTTGTCAACATCTTGGATATATTAGCTGGTACTCAGTATATATGGCACTTGGATATATTAGCTGGTACTCAGTATATATGGCACTTGGATATATTAGCTGGCATTCGGTACTCTTAGTCGACTTTGTGAACGCGCGCAGAAACGGGCAGCGGAAAAGTGCGGAGTGACTTTCGGGGGAGGGGGGGGATGGCCAAGACTCCTCAGTGCGGGACGGGAATGAAGGCTGCCCCCTTTGGTATCAACCAGTTTAAGGGCACAAATGGCAGATAATTTCAAAGATGGATGTGGCTGTAATGTGCCATCAAGCCCTGCTCTGTAAGGGGCTGCGTAGCTGCAGACCGGTCAGAGTGTCCATGCGGACCCCTGTGCACCGAAGAAAGCACCTACAATGGTCACGTGAGCAACAGAACTGGACCATGGAGCAATGGAAGGAGGTGGCCTGGTCTAATGAGTCACATTTTCTGTTGCATCATGTGTATGGACAGGTGTGTGTCGAGCATCTGTGGGATCTGCTGGACCGATCTACAGCTACTTAGCCTTGTACACAACAGGGCTCCATGGACTGTGTGCTGTGACACATCAATCCCGTAACCATCCTTAAAATTACCTACGATTCACGCCTTAGTAGCCTTTCTGTTGGTTTGTACCACATGGCATAGCCTTTGTCTGATCTCACAGAGAAGTCTTTGACCAAACCCCCTGTTGCAGATTTGTTTTTCCCTCCTCGGACCACACTGAGCAGGTACTCAGCACAGCAGACCATGAGAACCCCACAAGCCTTGCCGTTTCAGACACAGTCATCTGCCATAACAATCTGACCCTTAAAGTCATTCAAGTCTTTACCCTGGCTGATTTCTTCACATTCAACATGGTGACTGTGAATGCAGAATGTTAGCTTACATTTATTATACCTTAGACACATGAGCTGTTTTTACAAGTCAGTTTTACTCACATGACTTGGGGATGGTCATAATGTTCTGGCTCATTAATCTGTATTGCAATAATCCAAAAAGCATCCCATTCAGTAGTAGTAGTAGAAGCTTTGTCATTGCAAAAAATGGTATCAAACAACAAAATTTAGAGTTGCCACTCTTAGTCAGTGCTTCTAAACTAATATAGTTGAAAAATAAATATGTATATAAAAAGTTACCCGCCCCTGGCCCAGTCTGAGAACACTAGTTAAACACAGAATAGGCAATAAGGATACCGGAAAGAGTAATGCAAGCAATATAGGAAAAGCTTTAGCAAGTAATCATTTTCAACCTCTTATTGCATCTGATCCTGTTTTGCGCACACACACACACACACACACACACACACACACACACGGTCTCGCCCCCTCGGCAGCAGCCACAGATGATGCTCACGGGGTGGCGCCCTAACAACCTGGCCCATGTCAACCTTGCAGACCAGCCCAAAACCACTGTCAATGCCATAACACAGGTTAAATCCCTCTGTTGCAGTAAAGCAGACTCCCCTCTGCCTAACATAGAATAATGCTATGCATTTTGGTACTTCAATGCATTATGTGGATCCAATGTGACTTCAAGGCTCCTAGTGGATTTGGTTTAAATATTTCAGTCTCGGGTTAGTGTGTTTTATTTAAATCTGTTTTAAATGCAATGCCATGAAAGACTATTCCTCAGTACACATGTAATTCATTGCATGCAAAAAATTTCATGCCTGTACATGATTTTTCTCCTGACAATGGAAACATCGGTGTGGGAAAAAGCTTCAGAAAACTTGGTGTTACACAAGGCAAATATATTTCATCACACAGTGTGCTGGGCAAAGATTAGTGTAAACGTTTTGTTTAGATCTGATAGCAACACAATAAAACAATAAAGCAATTAAAAGAATGAAAAAGTTAAAGTAAGAATCTTACAACAAACCTCCAGGGCATCCGATCGCAAAAGATACTGCATGTAAACGGCAGAGCTTGAGGCGACAGGTCTGTCACTGCTGGCCGTAACTGAAGAAACAGCACTTTGCTTCTTGCGGAGGGCGCAGGAAACCTTGTGCTGCACCAGCCATCTTAAAAGACCATAAACAGTAGCTAGGGCAGATGAAAAGCAAGTGATCATGCAAATTATAAAGCACGTAATATGTCCACAGGATCCAATGTTTAAAAAGCCTGTTGTCTGCCTTTAATATATACATATCATTCTTACAAAGTTTCAGATCCAAGATGAGAGTTTCTCATAACAGTGTAAAGTTGACCATAATTATGACAAAACAGGACAGAGAGGAGTCAAAAGCAAACAGGGAAAACTACCAAAAAGTGACAACTGAGAAGCAGGACAACAGAATTAGGATCACTAGCTTAGCCACACACAGTAACATCACACAAACTCTCATACAATGACCAACCGGGGAAATGAACTAAAGCAGGAACTTAAATACACAAACAAACCTGAGCTAACGAGGACGCAGGCCAGAAGCATTAACCAGACAACCAATCACAGGGAACACTAGGTAACAGGCAATAGATGGAACTAATGAAGAGGTAATCACAGGAGTAGGGAACTTAACAGACAACTAAAAAACAATATTCTAACACTAGTGACCTGTGGCCTGTACTATGAAGCGGGTTACTGGCTTATCGGGGTAGCTTGTCGGATTTAAGGTACCACAGTTTAAATGGACTTCATATTCGTTCACTTACATTTTGCCCAGACTACCTTAAATCCGACAAGTTACCCCGATAAGCCAGTAACCCCGCTTCGTAGTACAGGCCACCGGCCACTGGAATACAAGGCTAATACAGAGTACAAGAAGTGCAAAACAAAACCAGAACCTAACAAAGGAGTGTGGGCTATGGATGGGAGGACTATGACAGAAAATAAACACTAGGAAAACCAAAAACCAAAGTATAACAAACCAAAACACACAAGGGTAAAGGATACAACTACAGAGGGGGAAGGCAGAATGGTCGTGTACCTTGTGTCCCGTAAAAACATGGTTTGCATGGTTTAAACAGTACTTTCAGTCCACGAAATGATTCATAAGAACATAAGAACATAAGAACTATACAAACGAGAGGAGGCCATTTGGCCCATCGAGCTCGCTTGGGGAGAACTTAACTAATAGCTCAGAGTTGCTAAAATCTTATCTAGCTCTGATTTAAAGGAACCCAAGGATTCAGCTTGCACTACATTATCAGGAAGACTATTCCATACTCTGACTACACGCTGTGTAAAGAAGTGCTTCCTTAAATCCAGTTTGTAATGTTCTCCCGCTAATTTCCACCTATGGCCACGAGTTCTTGTATTTGAACTAATGCTGAAGTAACTATTCGGTTGAACAGCATCCAAACCTGTTAGAATCTTATAGACCTGGATCATGTCCCCCCTCAGTCTCCTTTGCTTGAGGCTGAACAGATTTAGCTCAAATAACCTTTCCTCGTATGACATTCCTCTAAGACCAGGAATCATTCTTGTGGCCCTACGCTGCACCTTTTCTAAGGCCGCAATGTCCTTTTTAAGATATGGTGACCAAACCTGCACACAATATTCTAGGTGAGGTCTCACCAAGGAATTGTATAATCTTAGCATTACCTCCCTTGACTTAAACTCCACACACCTGGAGATATACCCTAACATCCTATTGGCCTTTTTTATTGCTTCCCCGCACTGGCGAGAATGAGACATGGAAGCATCAACATACACACCAAGGTCTTTCTCATAATCAGCTACCTTTATTTCAGTAGGACCCATAAAATATTCACTGTGAAATATTAGATCTTTTAGGTTTAGGCTATATGAATAATAAAGATTAGCCATTTTTATGTAATTCAACCTGTTTTCGTTAATCAGTTATCTTCCTTCTTTGCAATAAGTAAACTGGGCACCCAGTTTACACTTGGTGGTACACTCAGAGACGGGTCCAGCCCTGGCCATGGCAGAACCGCACGACTCGTGAGCTGGGCTCCTGACCCACCAAGTGCCCCAGGGATATGACGTAACTTAGTGTTCGGACCCCAAAGTTCACTTTCTGTGTGTGTGTGTGTGTCTGTGTTTTGTATGAATTACATTGTGGGGACACAATGTCCCCATAATATAATAAAACCTGATGCATTTTACCGTGTGGGAATTTTTTTCTTGTCCCGACATGGGAAGACTCAATTTTATAAAAATCCTTGAATACAATCAAAAAACTAAAAATGCCAGAATTCTTGTATTTTGTGTGGTTACTTTTGGTTACGGATCCGATTCAAGTCGAGAGCTGTACACTAGATGGCGCAGCAATTCAAGTACAACACGGGTCGCGACTCTGGATAAAGTATTACACTCTGACCAATAAATTATAGTATAATGTAATAATATCATAAAACGGCAGACACGTGGACGTCGATGGTCGGTCAGCATGAGGTACTGATGGGATCAACAGTTTTCAAGTCAGCCTCGCACATTTTCTCTATAATTCACCAATGATAGATACACAGCTGCGTCAAAAGTGAAATTTCAGGTGGCCAAACAGTAGCACACGATTGCTAACGGTCGAATCAGAGAAAACATTGTGAAACACAGAAATATTAACTTTTCTAGTTCATTATCACCGTGCTCTTTCCAAAGACAGTTAACTGTTTTAGTGAAAATAGAGTCTATTTTCGTATAAATACTGTCTAATGCAAGAGCCTGCTTCTGGTGAATAATTGTACTTAACCATATTTTGACTTAATAGGCCTATAAAAACATTACTTGTATCATGTCCAATCTTTATATTTACGAACTGAGTTTATCTGCAAAGTACTTGTTTACATAAATGGTTAAATATATCACACATGAATGCATTAACAGTTATTCTAACCATAGATTTTAGGATATTGCAATAATAACATTAATCATTGGTAACTTCGGTTTTGTTTAAAAACGAATATACGTATGCGTAAACCAAATACGCATGCAAAATTACTTATTATTACGTTCCATTATCCTGTTCTGCTCATTATTTTAACTATTTACACAATCATTAACTAATTTTAATAGAATAATACTGCAACTCTGTCTTTACAACATTAATTACAAAAATGTATATGGCATTGTATAATTAATATCGATGTATGATATGAAAACGACGTTAGGTGTGGCAATGTGGAATCACTGTGATTGGTTATAAATTATTTAAACAAAAGAATAACGAGTGGAAAACTTTATGAAACATGATTTGGAGATGGATCACAAAACAGGAATTGGGTACCATTAGTACCGTCATTTACTATAGCCTAAAATGTTTATATAAAATAAGTGTAAGGACTTAGAAGACCAATTACAAATATGATTTCGTCGTTTTCAGAGTATCTATGTGTGTAGGCATGAGTGCTTGAAGGAAGACAAAGAGATTGGGTGTTTTATCAGATAAAGGTTGATTGCATCCGCATGTAACATCATTAAATTATACAATAATAATAATAATGTGGTTTCGTGTTCAATTTCGTTTACACGTGCGTAAGTTCAAAACACAGTGCAAACTGAAACAGGGTACTTCGGCTATAAATGTAAAAGCCAAAATGCTCTGAACTTAAGCAAGTACAATTATATCTTTCGGGTGACGAAAGATACTTGTTTATTTTAAAAGTTTTACCGATCACCAGCATTTTGTTTTTGGGGAAAGTAAATTAAAGCCATTTTGAAGATTATGACGATGTTTCTCGTACTGAATCATACTGAAATAAAGTACAATATTGCATCAAAGCGCTTAATTTGTGTCTGATTACCATCTATCATTTCCATTCTTGATTTAGGCCTCTCTTAAGTGGATTTTAATTGGCTAAATTCAGTGGCCTTGCAGTTAATTGATATACTTCTACCGGAATTACCAATGTCCTTATTTATATTCAGACATCCTACTGGTACATTACCCATTAACTTTAACCACAAATCACAACAATGACAAGTTCTAATTGTCATATTTATATGGCGTAAGTGCAGGTAGATAATGTTGGATACATCCAGGAATGGTCTCGTGCCACAGCCAGTGATGACATGGCTGCTGCCATATGCCACGCCCACAACCTCAGTGTTGTATTAAATATTGTCAAAAATGGTGGCAAACATCTATGAAAATAATTATTTGCTATAACTGCCAGTTGTAAAACATGTTGAAGACGTCATGCGTCATGTTTTGAGCTATTAAGATGCAGCTTTTGATTCTGACAGCGAAATAGTGCTTTGTCTTGGGGGCTAACCACATCGATATTAAAAGGTATATAAAATGTTTAAAATGTCCGTTTATTTTGAGTCTGGGAGCAAAATATCACCATATTCTATTAAAAGGGGTCTTATTTAAAGCATTAATATAGTATATATCACTAAAAGAACACTCTTTTTGTGAAGCCTTTGAATATTCAAATTGAAAGTATCGCGCAATCATTGATTGTCAAATCATTGAGTTCTAGAGGTTTTAAATAGTAGGCATGGAGAGAGAAATACTCAAACTAATATATCCCTAGCTATAATTCAATATTATTGTATGTCCTCGACCAGGTCTAAGACTTTTGTGTTGAGAGTTAGTGCAACTTTTGTAATTATTTCATTCTAGCCCATATAATTGAGCCAGAGCTGACTGACTGAAGAGGCTCACAGCAACACTTGTTCCAGAGATTTTCACTTCTTTCAGCCAACATGTCTGGTGAGTTTATAACCATTTTAATTCCTTGAGATTCTTCGTCTTTTCAGTCTTTTAATTTGAAATATACCTGAAAAATATAAAGGAGAAAAATGCAAGTCACTATTAAAAGTATATCAAGAACAAAAGCACTGCAATTATAAATAGTAAGATAAACAGCTGGAAACAAAACTATTACCTCCATGTAAAGGGGAAATCTAACGTTGATTATGCTGGCGAACTCCCGATTATCATCGATAAACTAGCCTTACATGTAAGTACAGAGATTTCAGACATGTTCGATGCATTCAATGGATGCAAGTACCATATCACGTGCATTACTTTTACGAGTAAAGTGTGTAACAAAAAAACCTGGCTAAAACTATTGGCCATATTGTAACTTTGCAACTTGCAGATGTTACTGTTCATTTTTATTTGCTTATTTCAAATTCAAAAGCAGAGTAGTGACTGCTACCATTAATTTTCGCTATACGTAGCCTATATATAGTAATGAGTTTACAGTTTATTGGTGTTATTACTGTTTTATGCAGCATCGGATATTGGTAAAGTTAATGTACAATCGTTATTTTAAAACATAAGAAAGAAAAGTAAAGCATGCACGCATGTAGGCAATTTTTAAAGCGGCAGTTCGAATGGGGCGTATCGTATTTCTTTCCTGTAGCTTTACTATTTGCCACATTTAAGGGCAAAAATACACCGGAATCTTAATATATGAATATTTATCAAGGACGGGTCTAGAAGTTTTCGCTTAATCAGTACACCTCGGAAGCTTTTGTTGGCAACGTATCGCCTTTAAAACCACTTTGCCGGTAGTGTAACAGTCTAAGGGGCACGTAGGTGTCTTAATCGGTTTAACCATTGTGTGGCGTGGTTTCGGGAGAACCTTTATTTACATGATGGCGAATCGCCGTGTTTATGCCTGATGACATGGGGGATGAATTTTAAAACAAAAATTGCGTCATTCTTTATTCACTCGGCCAATATTGACCGTATTTAAAATGTCAATTTTTATGATTTTTATCGTTGTTTTATTAGCCTACCTTTGTATCTCATTTTCGTGCATATACATATTTATAGGCTACATACCACACAGAATTATACGTAGAAGTAGCCTACGGGTTGTAGACAAAAAGTTTGTTTTATTTTTCGTAATTTTTAAAAATCGGGATTTCGGGTAGGCTAATGTGAGATCTGTGGTTCATTGATAGCGTTTGCGCCCGTATTCAGTTCAAAGGAGACTAACTTTCCTCGAAATGCGCTTTGCTGGAGCATGCAGAATAAACACAACTAGCTAGAAGAGCGCAAACCTCTGTCTGCATTCAGTTATTCTTTACATGTATATTGGTTCTACACAAAACTTTACTTACTTGAGAGCACAGAAGAATGTCGCACGATCGATGATCTACAACGCAACTTTTCATATTCCGTCTACAAGTCTTTTAGCTGTTCGTCCTTCGGGTGTCTTTGTCAAAGTATTCAAAATCCTATTCTTTTGTTACTTTACGGTCTGTTTTGGGAATTTGGATGTATGATAAAAACGTAGGCTTATGATTACGTTCCTCTTTTTTAATTCTCAAGATTCATGTTTACAAATTTAAAACGCGTATGAGTGTATTTTACGCGGCTTAACCTGCATTTAAAATGGCCGATAACTCGTTTCCCCAGTTCCAGCAGTAATGCGCTATTCACATCTGTAATTCGAAACGCTAACCCGTTCGTTGCCGTACGCCGGAGAACGATTACGATGCAGTAAGCAAGCTCAAATTACAGTCCTTTGGAGTCCATACAACCACCGTTTTGGGGGCTATTTGTAATACACTTGAAAATAAACCATTCTTTTAAGTTCGTGTGATTTATACTGTAGGGTTGAAAACCACTCCGTGCTCATTACACACGCCGGATTAACCTTTATATCCATAGAGGTTACGTGGCTATACTTACCTGCACATATAGTTAGGCTACTGAAACCGCCTAGCGGTTTAACTTTAATTGACAGCTCTTTCAGACTTCCACCGTGGACTCCAAAATGTTTAGCACAAGCAGGCTACAGGAACCAAACGGGAGGTTACATCACTTTTATATTGCAGTTATGAGAAGGCGTGGGTGTTGCCGCGTGGATGGGCTTATACAGGCTTTGGTAACATCTGATTAACTCTCCCGGCACAGATAAACCAAAGGTGTACCAGGGTGTGCGAGTGAAGGCCACCGTGAGAGAGCTGCTGCAGAAGCAGAGAGCCCGACAGGCTGCCGTTAAAAGCACGACGGTAAGAAGGCTTTGCCTAAGTATTGGGAGCGGTAGGACTGATGTTATACAAATACCACTGACAGAATATTTCCTTTATCTGGCTTTTACACTGCCCAATAAAATAAAAATAAAAAATCCCAGGCAAATCAATAAAAATAACAAAAAAACGTATCTTCCTCAGTGACACCTTCATCGCATAAGTCGCTCTATATCTCTTTATTGTTGTAAAACATAGCAGCTGTCGACCTGTTTCCGTAGCACATGTTCAATGGAATTTATGGGTCTCCATACAAGGAGAGTCTGCACAGTTAAGCCCTATCCCCATATAAAAGAGAAATGTAAATTGATTAATTATGCTGTTGAGTCTACGGGCTAACCATCAACCAGTTACCTGAAACACGGATAACAAATCTCATCATACTGACTATAAAAAAACTCCAGAAAATATTTAACATAATAATAATAGGGGGCGTGGTGAGTGACAGGCAAAAAGTTCGTCGTTACACACTTTTAGTACATGCAGGCCTTATCGACGTGACGTTAATAAATGCAGAGGTTAATAAATGGTGTGTACCCTACATCAAAAAATAATATATTACAAAGTGCTTCGTCGAGAGTAACGATCAGTTCTTGGCGAAAAGAACATATAGGCCTAATTTGAGGGGGGAAAACTTAATGGTCAGGTTTAATAATTCGTACTCTCTCTCTCTCCTGTTATGCCTCATTCCTTTCCGTTTTTCTCTCTCCCTCATTCCTTAGATATCCCAGAACTTCACGGTCCAGGATGGCTGCGCCACACCTATTCCTGGTAAGATTTAAATAATCTGACAACGTTATTTTATATTACTCAAGAACAAGCCAAAACGTTTAAGCTCAAAAGAAGCCAAACATGCCAGCATGGCGTCACCTTATCTTTGCAAGGCGTTTGTAAAGACTTCAGATTGAATAAAATGTTCAATTGAACGCCTGTGTTCTCAGTCATTACCTTCAAATCATTTCTTACTTGTTGTAAACAAAGTTACACTGCGCATATAGGATACACGAGAAGAAATCCCTTCAAAAACTTATTGCTGTAACCATTCAACTGTACAAACGCTGAAAGCATATCAGTGTGTGAGAAGGTATACAGTACGTCGTATTACAAAACTGTACTATCTTAGGTTAGCCAATCTGGCTACTACTAAAGTCCCCCAAAGGGCGGAGTGCAAAACACTATCTATGCAAATCGCCTAACAATGCCACACTAACATAACAGTAGGCTTAAACAAATAAACACAGATAGATTTAGACCGTTATAAAATCGGTTTCATAGAAGTTATGTCCAAACTAAAACTTACATTGAGTGCCAACGACCTTCACGCAGAATACTCGGATTACAGAAACAATTGAAATACTCGGGTCCCCATTCGCGCAGTGTATTCTGCCCCTTTTATAAACTTGCATTTAAATGTGATTTAACTGTTGGCTAGGGCTCCCATGACATCACTTCTGAAGCATTTACTAATTTAAATGTCTTCTGCTTATTCACCCACTTCATATACCTTATTCACTTTCCCAGCCCATCATTTTGACGTGTGTTCGGGGAACTCTATTCCGGATGCCAGTTACCAGACGTCCCCTTACATCGACAACTTTTGCGACAGCCCTATGGAGACTTCAGCATTTGACAATCAGTATCCTAACGTCATGTTTCCGCAAGACAATTTCAGCAGCATTCTGCCTGCAGACTCTTCCGTGCAGCACTGGGCTCATGGACATTTTTTGTCGACTTCTGACTATCACATCAATGGAATGGTACGCTGCTGCAGTACAGCTTTTCTCTCTATGTGATCTGTCATCTTTAAATAGCCTACTAATTACTGCAAAGAGATCGTAGGAGAAAGCTCGGATTTTGTATGCTTGAACACAATCTCGCGTGCTGACCTGCTTGTGTTATTTGTATGTTTTTGTCGTAACGTACAGTGCGATCTCTTTGCTAGTTAATCGGCAGTTTGACATGTGAGAAGCAGATTTGTGAAATGCACATAAAAAAGAAATGTGATGCAGTTAGCTTTCTTCTTGACGTATTGTACTCAGTTACAGTGAGCAAACTGCACTGCACGAATATGTATCTGTACTCTTTAATGCTTTATTTTTGTTGTGACCCACTTTCATTTTACTCTTCTAGGTTCCAAGCGCTTTAACCGACTCACTGTCGCTCAATCTTCCCAGCCCAGATTACAACAGTTTCTCACCCCCCGATTCCTACTCCTCCTCTTCCTCGTGCTACAGCTCTCCTTCTCGGATGGACTCGAATTATGGTTTCGTTGCAGAGAATTACCATTACCAACACTGCAGCTTCCAGCGCGGCTATTGCCTGTCTCATTGGTCGGGTCCCCAAGACAGCCCGATGAACGCGGAGTACGTCTCGGACTGCTTGTACACACCAATGGATCAGAGCTACTTCAGAAGGGATGTGTGCAGCTCAGAAATGTGTTATCTTTAAAATGCAATCTCCAGTTAAATTTCAGAGCAAGCTGGTTTTATGCAACCAGCTCGCTGCAACTTACTGTCTGTTACCAGCATCACGTGTGTCTTTAAATTGGCTATTTTCAGTCTAATTTCAGTCTAATTTCAGGCCCTAATGTTCCAAACCACTTCCACGCTTTTAACCTGTCACTAAACTGAACCAGCGAATGGACGTGCGATTGAAGCGCATGTGTGTTGTGTTGTATTGGTGCGTGTTGCTGAGCAGTAACGGGAAAAAAATCAATTCCTATGCTTCCAGTTACGAACAAATTACAGTTACGTAAACAATAAAGATGTATATATTTCTTAATGATGTAGTGTTTTCTTAAATTTTCACTAATATGTTTTGGCTTTTAAAAGTAAGCTACTGATTCCCAAATGACATATAGTCAAAAACACTTAGTTGAAGCGTTTTAAATTAAAGAAATGAACATCTAAAGTCCACTTAAAAAGTGATAAGCGCTCTTTTCTAAATGCGCGCGAAATTTCCTGCAGTTATTGCATTGATGGAATAGTAGGCGACATTCCACCAAACACTTTAGTCACACACGTAGATATAAGTTAAAAAAATATACCAGCCTTCTGTTAAAGGATTTTCCACGTGCAAGAACATGGTGCAAGAAAGCTGATCAACTGAAAATAAACTAAAATCGCCTTCAGTAGACAATAAACAAGTTTGTTATGCTACGAAAGTCATTCGGTGACAAAGTTTTATTGATGCAGGAAAAATAGCCTAGAATATTAATTCCCTGTGTTTTTGTTAGTCTATAAGGCATAAAAAACAACAATACATTCATTGGTATTTCTGTACTTAATACGATATAGATGAAAAGAGCTGTTTAAATCTTGTATAGAATTTAAAAACTTGCTATTTCTCGTTTCTATTTTCGTAATCCGAACTACAAGCAGTAAGTGACCCCCAATCATTCTTTCTAAGTTTCAAGCGATCTGATCACGGGCAGATCAATGTGCTTGTTGATCCTTATCTTAGCTCTTTGTCCCTAGTTGGGCCCAGGGCATAATATGTTGCAGCTAGTTGCGCATCAAAGTTCTGTTAACGCAGCTCATTCTGCCTTTGGCCAGACAATCGGAGAGCAGCGACCGTCTTCATTAGTTAAAATGTAATAGCAACCCGGGGTGCAAATAACTGTCGTTTAGTTAAGTTAAAGCAGAAAACGTCAACTAAGGACTGAAGTCATGACATTGTTTGTCCTTTTACCTTAATAGGAAGTCATTTGCGTGACCTGCCGTTATGCTTTCAGAGAACATTACAGTTCCATTTTTTAAAACTTTACTTGGAGTTCCTCACTTTCATCAGAAAAGAATTTATTGTTATTTCCTTGGAATTCTGACTCACTTGTTACATCCTGTACCTCCAGTGTCCTTCCTTGGGTTTCTATAATATTTTAATTCTCTTTGGATAATGTTTAAGGGCTCCACATTGTGTTTGCTGGAACATATGACTTATGGGTCAAAGAGGACCTGTCAGAACACATTTTATACCCAGTTTATAATGTACATGGCTGATACTGTATTCACAACAAGTCATCATTTTTCCCCTTTTCAGCTGAGGCTGGGTAATATTCACATGCCTCTGCTCAACAGCCGTCCACCTGTAACAGGCAGTAACAGTAACATTATCCACCTCTGGCAGGTACACAGATAAATTAGGCTTAACATCTCAGTACCTTTGCTTGATCTTAGTGGGAGCACAAGGTTTCCTACAATGACAAAACGTAAAATGACCAAAACATCTAGAACAGCTAAGGAAGAAGCTATACTTTCTCACCCTCAAAACCCAGGGGACCAGGGGTGAATCTCAATATGTGTAACTGACCATACTTGTATCCTCGTGTACTCATTTACGTCATCTTCCATTGCTTAAGACCAGTTACAATTCAAATAAAGACAAGTACACCAGGACAGTAAAAATCTTGGGATGTTGCAAATATCAAGGATACATCAGTTGCATCTCATGATTAATTGCAACCCAAGTTCATCCTTGGAAGGCAAGTTCGCAAGACCACAAGTATGGTCTTTGCATTGATAGTATTGAGATTCACCCGGGTGTATTGGCTGGTTGTTGTCATGGTTACGGCAGCAGGGGGTAATGAGCTCCTGGTGGCTGATGTCGGGGTGCAGCACTGCAGCCATGTGCAGCTATGTTAAGGTAATGATTTACAAAGTTTTACGATAGAGTTACAATTGTCTGTCCTGAAACACTGTACAGTAGCAGCAGTAAGGGACATTTTTTATTTTATTATTATTTTATTTATGTACATTACTCTGGCTGCCAAGTATAAGTGGGAGGTCAATCAATGGATAGATGGATTTATTTTACCATCAATGGCTGAATGGATTTTTATTATTATTATTATTTTATTTTTTAATTTCAGCTAGTTCTATAACAGGAGCATGTCTGAGGCAGTACAGCCTCTTAACTCAACCACATACTCCTTCATGAGATGAGATGGTTTGCACCCTTATACACAATTAAGTTAATGGCTAACTGCTGTTTTACTTATAATGATTATAGTCACTGAAGCAACCGCCTGACAAAATGTGCATTGTACTGAGGCAACAGAGCATTAAACTTTTTATTTTGCAGTTTTAATTACTGCACCTTAAGCTACCTTTTAAAATGTCACATAAAGTTTAATATTGCTGGAATTTTAGAGAATGCACTGCCTGTCTATGCTAAACGTAATACTGCCATGATTTCCCCTCCTACCTCTGAGTGTCTGAGTATACTGCCTCTGAGTGTCTGAGTGCACTGCCTGTCTATGCTAAACATAATACCAGATCATACGCAGTAGGGAACCACAGCGCAGCAAGCAGCCTCCTCACCTGTGTGAGTGTCTGAGTGTACTGCCTTTGAGTGTCTGAGTGTGCTGCCTGATTATTGGAGAAAGTGTTCATATTTGAACAACACTGTGCCTTTTTTTCTTATCAGAAATGTTTCCCCCCAAAGTTTGCCCAGCTCAGAATATTCCAGGCCCTGGGCTGTAAATGGAGAGCCACACCTGTGTCTGTGGCCCTCCACTGTCTTGGTCAAACACGTCCACTTGCCACAGCAAATACAGAGCAATGCTGTAAGCAAAAGTAGCCTGGGTGTGTGTGCGTGTGTGTGCGTGTGTGCCTGTATGTATGTGTTTGTGTGTGTGTGTGTGTGTGTCTGTGTCTGTGAGTGTGTGTGTGTGCGAGTGTGTGGCTCCTGGGCCCCTATCCGGTTCTTCGGCCCCTATGCAGTTCCTCGGCCCCTTTGTGCCACAACTCATGGGCCGTGTGGCTCAGAACTCAGAACACAGGCCATGTGGTTCCTCGGCCCCTTTGCAGCTCCTCGGCTCCTTTGTGGCTCCTCTGCCCCTTTGCGGCTCCTCGACTCCTCTTACGGCTCCTCGGCTCCTTTGTGGCTCCTCTGCCCCTTTGCGGCTCCTCAGCTCCTCTTGTGGCTCCTTTTCCCCTTTGCAGCTCCTCTGCTCCTTTTGTGGCTCCTCTGCCCCTTTGCGGCTCCTCGACTCCTCTTACAGCTCCTCGGCTCCTTTGTGGCTCCTCTGCTCCTTTTGTGGCTCCTCGATTCCTCCTGTGGCTCCTCGGCTCCTTTGTGGCTTTTCGGCACCTTTGAGGTGCGACACGTGGCTCGTGCACTTTGGGAATCCCCCCACGGGCTGCAGCAGGGGCACGTGGGACATGGTGCCTCTCCCGCCTGCCCAACCACTGGTGAACTTTGAGGTGTGGAAATCCCCCGAGCCACACAAGGAGCGGCACCAACGTGAGCTGCAACCTAATCTACCCAACTTTAAACCAGCCCATTCTATCGCATTTATTCAGGGCAGAGTAAACATTTTAATGAGACAGCATTGTTCCGGTGAACCATGAGCACTGAACTGTACCCTCATATTCACAAGGGTTGGAACAGAGCAGTTTCTCGCTTCCAAGAAAAACTTGGAATTTCCCTCCTGAGTAGCCAAATGCAGCACCGACCTCCAGCTCTCCATGTCCTGGAAATAGAGGCCATCCAGCAAGAATCTATATGTAATGAACTACTATGAAGAAACACAGTGATACAACAGTAGTACGTGGAAAAGCACAATTTTCTGTGCACACCTGTGGGTGGCACCTGCTTGGGTAGACAGGAGCTCCGGCTTATCCTGGCAAATGAATGCAACCCATCACTTTGGATGGCTTCTCCTCCAGCATCTCTGGCATCTCCATGGAGACCGCAGTGTTTTTTAAAAAAAACGGTGCCGGTCAATAAGGACCATGACCCCCTAGCCGCCCAAAACACCAAGTCAGAACCTACTGGCAACTGACAGGCACAGACGGAACATATCTACAATATCTAGCCCCATAAAATAAACCTTTGCCAAAGCTTAGACAAGGTAGTATTATTATTACATTAGTAAACTACAATTTACACACATTGATGTATAACCGGAGCAATTGGGGTTAAGTGGTTTTGCTCAAGGACATTGTTGTAGGATTGTTTCTGACACTTGACCTGGCAACCTTCGGGTCATCCATGGAAGTTAATATCCTTAACTATCACTTTAACTACTATCCTAGCTAATTACTGTGTCACATATCTGATTTTGTCACCAAAAGGGGAAGCAGAGTATCCCAGGCCCAGCAGCAGTCAGGAGGCAGCCAAAAGGCTCATGCCTGCAGTGCTGCTGATGGATCTCCAGCACCTGGAACAAGTTCTTGGCTGTCAACAGTGATGGCCCAGTGACCCCCCTATCCCCGAGCCCAAAGCATGGGAGGCGCACATTACATGGGAAACTTGAGTGATTTAATGCAAAGGTGAAGTGGTGTTCCAATTAGCATGCCACTGAAGGATTTACACAGACGTGCAAAAAGATGGACAAGCTGAACAGGGAGGCCAAACCACCACCATTTCTGGCAGCGAATGAAGCATAGAGATGATCCATTAGGGTGGAAAGCAGGGTCGGCATGATGGATCATGGTAAGATAATGGGGCCTGAGGCAAACCTGCTTAAGGAAAAGGCTTGAGCCGGAATGTTCCATCAAGCAACTGGGAAAGACAAATCAGACGATGTCCTACGGAGCCAATGATGCAGAAGGAATGCCATTTTGAGGAGACGGTCTCTCTCCAAAGGCTCGGGGAGGCATGAGTGTCGGCTGAGGTCCATCACTGGAACAGACAAAGAAAATGGTTCGAAATTAATCATCAAAGGACTTTATTTAAGGCTGAAAGACAAAATGCATAAGATTAGCAGTGAGCATCAACTTGCACTTTTACACAAGTTTTAATGCATCTGAAAGTGAAATGCCAGGGATGTGAAGGACTTGTAAAGTTCCATTGTCCAGAGAGAGAGAGAGAGACAGAGAGAGAGAGAGAGAGAGAGAGAGAGAGACTTTGCTCTTTTCCTTGCTATGCCATGCCATACACACTTTTGGAATGTACATTCCCGACAATTCCCAGCACAAACTCATTTGCCAAGGGTGGTGATATGTTTACAAACTTGGCACAGTTTATCTTCTGGCAAAAAAAAAAGATTATGTGCATATCAAGTCTTTACTTGCTCGAGTGGAGACGGCTTGTTTAAAGGGAGACTGTAACCTGGAAGGCGCCAAATAAAGATCTTAATGCAACATGCTCGTAAAAGATAGATATCGCAGCATGTTTCGCAATCCCTGCTCACTGCTGGCTATTGTGCAGTGAAAAAATTTGTAGGCAAATTTTAGCCCCTAAGCCATACCATATTGAAGATCCTCTTATACTATGTGCACAGCAAAATTGCTGTATTTATTGCCATTATTTATCAGCCTTAATTCAGAATAGATGGCAAGTACTTCTAAATAAGTAACTGGAGCTGGAAGTTCATCACGGCTTTATGGTTAGTGCTGCGGGCTCAGATCTCTAATATCATGTGCTCAGTTCCCAGCTCGGTGTGTACAGCATGTGTGATTCTTCGGGCTATGCAGATTTTCTCCTGCAGTGCAAAAATGTGCATTTAGGTGAATAGGAGGCAGCCCAGAGAGAGCCATATCCCACCCAAATTGCTCATTTGCCTTGGTTCCCAAAAACCGATACCCTGAATGGGAAACAACGTGGGGAAAACAGGAGGATATTTCACACATTAAGCCATTTCCATTCACACTTCTCTGCAACCTTAGCACTGACTAACAAAGTGCAATCACACATCTGCCATTTTCTCAGCAAAACTGACATCACCATCGTCTCAGCTCCTGCTCTTTAAAATTAAAAGGTTATTGTCACACCAGGTTTGGGCTTGCAAACATGTCAGGACAAACACCACCAGAATGGCTGCAGGTTACTCCATCCCCTTCTATGTGTTAAACATGCCCAGCAACAAAACACGCCTGTCAAAATTTCACCACCTCACTAAAGGTACTGCTCTCTATCTCAGGCAGAAATAAAAGCAGAAATAAATCATGTATCTTTGCAAAGAATGCTGAGTTATCCTTGACAAGATTCACAGACTGAAAAAGAAAAATTGCATAAAAAAAATGTGGGAAATCATGGCAGCAAACATAGGAAACAGGCTGCTGGGGGCCATTCCCTCTTTTCCACTGGGACCAGTGACTGCTTTTCCACTGGGACCATTCTCTCCTTTTCCCCTCTAACCAGTCACTGCTTTTCCACTGGGACCATTCCATCCTTTTCCCCTGGGACCATTGCCTGCTTTTCCCTTTGACCATTCCCTGCTTTTCCACTGGGACCATTCCCTCCTTTTCCTGTGGGATCATTACATCCTTTCCCCCCCCAACCATTCCATCCTTTTCCCCTGGGACCATTCCCTGCTTTTCCACTGGGACCATTCCCTGCTTTTCCCCTGGGACCATTCCCTGCTTTTCCCCTGGGACCATTCCCTGCTTTTCCACTGGGACCATTCTCTCCTTTTCCCTTGGGACCATTCCCTGCTTTTCCACTGGGACCAGTCACTGTCTTTCCACTGGGACCATTGCCTGCTTTTCCCCTTGACCATTCCCTCCTTTTCCCCTGGGACCATTCCCTGCTTTTCCACTGGGACCATTCCCTGCTTTTCCCCTGGGACCATTCCCTGCTTTTCCACTGGGACCATTCCCTGCT